TAAGATGAGAGTTGCAGGTGTTCTTCACATATTCCAATTTGAAACTAAGCAGGTTTTAGCAACTCTCTAAATTAGCTGTTTGTTGATTGATCGTTTTTGAGGTTTATAGGCCTCTTCACTTAAGTTTCTTTGAATTATATTATATGCATTTCTCCTTTCCTTGCAGGGTGAAGAAATTTGTGTTGCTCTTCAAACACACATAAATGACATCATGTTGCGGCGCTACTCTAAAGCTCGGATTGCTGCTAGTGGTTCAACAAATGGAGATCTTTCTAACAATGCCAAGCCCTCTGATGGTGAAGTGTATGGAAAACGTGTACAGGATTTGTCAAAAGCTGTTGGAGAGTCTCAGAGGAATGCTGATCAAGTAAGAAAATAAGATTTAATTGTGCTGAAATGTTGATTACTTCTATTATCTGGTGGTTGAATGAAACTACGTTAATTCAGTTGCTGGAAGAATTGTGTGAAAAGCAAAAACAAGAAGCAAAAATGCAAGAAGAATTAGAAAGTTTGAAACAATCCTTGGCATCTGAGAAGCAAAACCTGACAGAAGTTAGATGTGATCATGATAGGCTTAGGTCATCGTGTGACGAAAAGGATAAGGCGCTTCAGGTCAGTATCACTAATTTTCTAGAATCAGTATTTGCACTCAATGTGCTTTAAATATTTTAACCGATTCTCAAATCTATTTAGGCTGCACTGCTAGAGAAAAAAAGCTTGGAAGCAAGGCTGCAGAACTTGGGTAATCAAGTGGCAGAGAAAAGTAACAAAACACAGCAAGTTGGTGGAAATAACCACGTAAGTTTTTGATGAAAATAAATTTTGGTATCAATTTAGTTAAGTTGGTTCTTTCAAGTGATTTATGATAAGGCACAAGGGATTTTGAAAACAATATCTTACACAGGTATTGCAAAAGCTCGAAGATGAGATAAATCTTCGTGGTGAGGAGTTGTTAGCAAAAGAAAAAACTATAAGGAGACTATCTGATGAAAAAATATCATTGGAGCAAAGACTATCTGGGCTTGAAAAGACTAAATCTGTTGAGGTGATGCCCTTGACATCTTAATTTGGTGTTGGTTCATTGCTTCTTTTTTAATGTTTTTATTGTCTATGTTTCTGGTAGCTGATAGAAGAATCAAATATCTTAGTGAGTGTTGATTATGCAGATTGATTCTATTGAGAAAAAATTTGAGCAAGAGCGCAAAGCGTTAAAGCTTCAAGTGTTTGAACTTGAAAAGAAGCTTGAAGGAGTTAACCAAGAATTAGCAGGTCTTAAGTCAATTCTTGCCACCAAAAACTCTGAGGTTGCTGAATTACAAAGTAGCTTAAAGGAATTGGAGGAACTGAGAGAAATGAAAGAGGTAATGATCCTGTACAGATTCTTTAGTGAAGCTTTTTCTTTCGTTTCTTATATTTATTTTATGTACAAGGTTCCGGTTTTGAAAATGGTAAACATTGCCAACAAATTCATGTTTGATTTCAGGACATTGATAGAAAGAATGAGCAAACTGCTGCCATCTTGAAGATGCAAGGAGCTCAACTAGCTGAGATAGAAGCGCTTTACAAAGAAGAACAACTTTTGAGGAAGCGATATTTTAATACTATAGAAGGTTGTCATTCCTTGAAATCTTTCCAATATTTAAGCAAGCCTTTTTTTTTCTTTCCCTTTAGCATCACTGACGTGAGGTTTTTTCCATTTATATACTTTTCAGATATGAAAGGCAAGATTAGAGTCTTCTGTCGGTTAAGACCTTTGAGTGCAAAAGAAATTACAGAAAAGGAAAGAGATGCAGTTAAAAGTGTAGATGAGTTCACAATTGAACATCCATGGAAGGATGACAAATTGAAACAACATATGTATGATCGTGTATTTGATGGTAATGCCACCCAAGAGGATGTATTTGAAGATACAAAGGTAAGTTTCTTTGTATTAAACAGTTATCATCGAAAGAGAGCTAATTTTTTTTTTAATTGATATGAATATACTTTGTAAATCATGTCTAACATGTTTGTTTACGTGCACATAATGCAGTATTTGGTACAATCTGCAATTGATGGGTATAATGTGTGCATATTTGCGTATGGGCAAACCGGTTCTGGAAAGACATATACCATATACGGTTCAGAAACAAATCCTGGACTTACTCCACGAGCTACTGCAGAGCTGTTTAAAATATTGAGGCGAGAGAACAACAAATTCTCATTTTCGTTAAAGGTATATCTTGTTGGTTCTGTACAATGAACAATTTTAGTGGTTGCCACTTACAACCCTTGCAAGAGCAAGATAAGATTGTTAAATGCTTTCTTTCCTATGAACATGTGAAACTTCTATATAGTAAGTACAATAAAAACGTCCATATAAATAGAAGAAAATGGGAAAAAAAATTACAAATTGGACAAGATATACGAATTACATTCATTGTTAAAAACGTCCATAAGTTTAACACCCAAAAAAAAATATACGAATTACATTCATTGTTGTTGTTTAGGCTTGGTAATGGTTTTTTCTTTTTATTAATTACTACTAGGTAATTTGATCTAAATTATTTTTGCGCAGGCATACATGTTGGAGTTGTATCAAGATACACTTGTAGACCTTCTCTTACCGAAAAATGCCAAGCGTTTGAAATTGGAGATCAAGAAAGATTCAAAGGTAATCTCTTTACAAATCTCTAATACTTTGTAATTCTATAAGGTGTCTTCTGATTAGACTGAAGAGTATTTTAGCTTAATCATATTTGATCCTTAATGCATGTTATTTAATTTTTTTTATTTATTCGGATCTGATAATTAGTATCACATCTTTAAGGTCACTCAACGGTTAATTTTGTGATGTTAGGGTATGGTCACGGTTGAGAATGTAACAGTTCTCTCAATTTCATCACACGAGGAACTGAAAAGTGTCATTCAAAGAGGTTCTGAACGAAGGCATATTTCCGGAACTCAGATGAACGAAGAAAGTTCAAGGTCACACCTCATAGTTTCTGTTGTCATTGAAAGTACCAACCTTCAAACTCAATCTGTTGGAAGAGGAAAGGTATATCAGTATATTTCAAATCAAATGAATAAAGGTGATGCACACTGGTTTCCGTTCACTTCAGGTCTAGTTAATCATTTGTTTTAAAATTATGTTGGTTAATATTTTTCTTTCACATAATCATGTGTAGCTAAGTTTTGTGGATCTTGCTGGTTCGGAAAGAATAAAGAAGTCAGGCTCTTCAGGTAGTCAACTTAAAGAAGCTCAAAGCATCAACAAGTCACTTTCAGCACTTGGTGATGTTATTAGTTCTTTATCTTCTGGTGGTCAACACATACCGTACAGGAACCATAAGTTAACGATGCTAATGAGTGATTCACTTGGTGGTAACGCCAAGACGCTTATGTTCGTAAATGTTTCTCCCGCTGAATCAAATGTGGAGGAGTCGTACAATTCTCTAATGTACGTCGTGTTTCTCTTTATTGTTTGCTTTTTCCAAAATCAAATCATTTGACCCTTAATGTTTTTTCCAAAAGGTAACGACTACTATTTTTGCACTCCTTCATGCTAAATTCAGGTATGCATCAAGAGTTCGATCAATCGTGAATGATCCAAGCAAAAACGTTTCTTCAAAAGAGATCATGCGGCTGAAGAAGTTGGTTGCACATTGGAAAGAACAAGCAGGCAAGAGAGGAGACGACGATGATTTGGAAGAAATTCAGGATGAGCGACCGGTGAAAGATAGAGGTGATGGCCGCTATTCCATGTAACTTTGCTGAAACTGGTTTGGCGAAACTTGTAGGGAAATCCTAGCATTACAAGTTTCTTGCCAGAATTTTGGAATGTAAGCTTTAGGGTTTCGGCAGGGTAGACCACGTCGAGCGAGAGCATACAATTTGGTTCAGTGTTCTAGTTGATATTATATTTTAGGGGTCCTGATTCTCTCGTTTAACATTGTGTTCAGATGAGAAAAGGTTGTAACTGGGTTAGGAGGATATGAGTTGTACAGTGTGGATGGCATGTATATGACGGTTCCTTGGGCTAGCAATGCCACGATAATAGTATCGCAAGCCAATCTTATAACTGAACCATCATATGATTGGTGTTGCTATATGCAATGCAGTTTCTCAAGCCAATTCCGTTACTAATCCATCACATGATTGGCGTTGCTACATGCAATGCAATATCCCAAACCAATCTCGTTACAAAACCGTCGTGTGATTGGTGTTGCTACATGCAACAATGCAGTATTCCAAGCCAATACCGTCACTAAACCCTCACATAATTGGTGTTGCTACATGCAATGCAATATCTTAAGCCAATCCCATAATTTGTAGATCCCAAGCCAATCCCGTCACCGAACCATCACATAATTGGTGTTGCTACAGGCAATGCAGTATCTCAAGCCAATCCCGTCATTAAACCATCACATGATTAGTGTTGCTACATGCAATAAGCCAAACCTATCACTGAATATCACATAATTGGTATTGCTACATGCGATGCATGTGAACCATCACATGATTGATGTTGCTAATTTTTTGTTCATTGCCAAATCGTTCTTTGCTATTGGTATATAAGAGTCTGTGTTGCAATTTGGTTTAAGTTTCTTGTATATTTCTCATATATTGTGTGAAAGTACAATGACACATATATAGGAAAAGAAGGACCGGTTACAGCCAACCATCTTTAGACTAAACCCTAGAGACCGGCTATACTCCTTAATTGAAGGAATTACACCAAACAATGCTAATAAGTGATTTACACCTTTCTGTCTAGGTACACAAGAGGGGCTGAGCAGCCAAGCAGCCAAAGTTGACAAAAAATGCCATGCCATGATTTTTTATTGGGATATGTTATCCACACATCCTATTTTACTTCTCACATATCTCTTGATAATTTTTGTTCGTTGATTTTTTCAATTCGTACGATCTGACGGTCAAAAATTAGAAAGATGTGTAAAAAGTAAAATGAGATGTGTGATATTACACCCCTTTCTGATTTCTTATCTATCTGGAATTGGTAAGTCTCAATAGTCTGTGATAGAAAAACGCGAAAGCAAAATAAAAGCCCAAAATCAGAAGAAAAGAGTTGCTTGCAGACCGGAGGTCGCGGCTGCTTGCGTAAGGTACGAACTAGTAAGAAGGTAGGAGTAAAGATATGGGAGCTGGAGATGAGGATTGCAAGACGATCCCAGCCATTAATCTGCAAAATTTTCCAGATGAAGAAGAGTACAGGAAACTGAGGGAAGCTTCAGAGACATGGGGATGCTTCAGGCTTATGAACCACAGGATCCCAGTGGCTTTGATGTCAGAGATGAAGTGTGTGGTCAGATCTATGCTGGAGCTGCCCTTGGAGATGAAGGAGCAGAACAAAGATTCACTAGCTTTCACTGGCTACATACCTCCCAGCAAACTCAATCCTCTCTTTGAGGCTTTCGGTATTTACGACTTGGCCTCACCTCAGGCTGTTCATGGCTTTTGCTCTCAGTTGGATGTCACTTCCCACCAGAGGTTAGATTTCTACTTGTAACCTTAATAATCTCACAGAGGCCATTTGGTTTAGACTTTTAGTAACACTGAGCTGCGGCTTGCATAGAGCCGGTGTCCGATGAGCGTAAGATCCTATAGTCTATAGTCATGACTCCACGTAGTACGATTTTCAGTTGGATTAATCCGATTTGTTCTAAATTTGTTAAGAAATATAAATATTTTTACAATTATATTGTATAGTTATTATCATCAAAAGATGAAAACACGTCAAAAAGAATTAATTTACTTAATTGGTTTAATAAAAAATAATAAAAATGTTCTTATAATATAAAATATTTTCATATGGATAAAACCAATGTTGTATTTTTAATATAAAATATTTTCATGGATGTCAGTTTGAGGACAAATAACTAAGAAAACATGTTATTGTTATAAATACTACATAAAATGTATAGGAAAATTTTTTATTTTTAATTAGAGATATATTAAGATTATATGTAGATGATGCTTTGAAAAAAAAAATTTTTTTTTGATTGTATGAAATTACATATATGCTCCATATTTTTTATTCAAGTTCTCTTTTAATTAAAAAATTAAACTGATAATTTCATATGATTTTGATTTAATAAAAAATAATAAAAATGTTCTTATAATATAAAATATTTTCATATTGATAAAACCAATGTTGGATATTTAATATAAAATATTTTCATGGATGTTAGTTTGAGCACAGAAAACTAAGAAAACATGTTATCATTATAAATATTTGAAAATAAAAAATATTAAATAAAACCGAATTTTCAAATTGGGCCCACATCAACACATTCCCTCTCCCAGTTCTCATAAATCCCTTTTCCAATCCCACCATTTCCACCTTTTCCACTTTCGGAGCCACCGCCACCGATTCGGCGGTACTGATACGGGATTGGGATGGTGAAAGACCGTATCCGGCAACTATCAAATCTCAACAAAGTCTTTGCATGAATCCAAATCTCACAAATGAAAAAAATAAAAATAAAAGTAATGACCTTAATAATAGCTATGCCTACTTGGACCAATGAGGTTCAGTCTTCATTGCGGTCAAAACTCTACGAACGACAGTCTTGGATGAAAAAAAAGGTTACACCTTACTAATCGCACCATGACTTACAAATTTGCTTATTTTAAGAGGTGGACACTCAATTTAAATCCTGTAGCCCACTTAGCAAAAGTACTAAGTATCTCGCCTCGTTTAGAATTTATGGGATCCTCCCTTGACGACAGTTGTTGAATGAAAAGAAAGCTCCAACCTTCTTAACCTAACGTAAACTGGTAAGTTTATCATTTCTTTATCAATAATACGTTATTAATGTGGTTCTTAAAGTCGCATTTGTTACTGAATGTGCAGAGAGGTGATAGAGAAGTATGCTCAAGCAACATGCGAGCAGGTTGTGGACATCGGGAAGAAGTTGGCAGAAAGTTTAGGGGTGGCCAACACTGATTTCCACAAGGGATGGCCTTGCCAATTCAGGATGAACAAGTACAACTTCTCTCCTGCATCAATGGGGTCCCCTGGTCTACAAGAACACACAGATTCTGGATTTCTAACAATTCTTCAAGAGGATGAAGATGTTGGTGGTCTGGAAGTGATGAACAAATCTGGTGCCTTTGTGCCTGTTCATCCTTGCCCTGGCACTCTCTTTATCAATCTTGGGGACTTCGCTCAGGTCTTACGTCGATACTTTATTTATGTCATATCAAGACTACCTCGAACTATTTGCTATAAATACATCAGGAATATATCGACGTAACTGTTTGATACAGTAATATTGCTATTTGATAACAGTGTCGTTGATATTTTTATACCAAGGTTTGGAGCAATGGGAGGCTGCACAACGTGAGGCATAGAGTGAAATGCTCGGAGGCTAGTATTCGAGTTTCGATCGCTACATTTCTCAGCGGACCAAAAGAGGAAGCGATAGAAGCTCCGCCGGAATTGGTAGATTCGGACCACCCACGTCTCTACGTCCCTTTTGTTTACGACGATTACAGAGTTAGCAAGTTCAAACTGCTCAAAAAATTACAGGCTGATAAAGCCCTTGCACTTCTACGTATCCCTTCCTAATTTGGTGATACGTGTGTGGCAAAGCTTAGCTGCCATATATAATAAAGAAGTGTGATATCTTCACATTTTATTTTACTTTTAACTCACTCTTTTAATTTTTCGGTCGTCAGATCGGATGAATTAAAGAAGATCAACGGACAAAAATTATTAAAAAATATGTGAAAAGTAAAATGAAATGTATGGATAGCACTCCATGATATGTCATCCTCCTTTTAGAGAATCCCCAATAAAAATGTCAAAATTTCAAAAACATATGTCTAATTTGTATTTGATGACTGAGTTGACATTGAAGTAACATCTTTAAATTTTCCTTCTTCAGTTGAGACGTCAGCTTCCGATTTTCTTTGTTCAAGTGGGACCTATACATATATAAAATATGTTATATTAAATTTTTGGGGAGATTCAGACCAATGGTAAATAAATAAGTTGCTTTGGAAGTGGTGGAGATATTTTAAAAATCAAAATGAAGGATTTGAAGCTAACAACTTGACGTCAAATTCCACCTTAGCTTTATCAGATCAGTTGGAGAGACATATACTGTAAAATACTAATGTTAGAGCCTTCACTTTGAAATTGAAGTTTCGGTTGGAGATACTCTTATAATAAATATATAAAATAAGTGTAAATCAAAAGGTTTGTAAGTACTTGAGGTTTAAAATTCAAATCTGACTCCCTCAGTATCATTTCCATAAAACATATTGAATTCTAAGTCATGTACTAAGGAAAATCTGTTTTCCCAATTCTCAAACTTGTAAAATAGTTACCACTAGTTAGACTGTCTGTGCGTTGCTACGGTGGCGTGTTGTCTTGTGTGCTATTTTTGCAATGAACCGAAATAAATGTTAATGAACGAAGGAAAATATTGAAAATGAATAGGTTTTAATAGGTTTAAACACTATATGGCAGAGCTAATGATGAAGGAGAAAATGGTGTGAAAAAATGAAATAAGAGTTTAAAACAAAGGAGAAGCAAAAGAAGAAGAGATGAACACCCTTGTTCAGCAGATGAGGTTTTTTAGGTGGTTACCATTTGCACCCATTTAATTTAATTTATTTATTTTTTTGTGTGTTTTCAGATCAATCTGAAGTCAAGAAATACCACAGGAAATCTGTATTCACAGCAGAGCGACAAAAATGTAAAAGTTTTTTGTTTTATGCGACGTTGGTAAAAGAAATACCCTAAACCGTTCCTCAAAGAAAAATAAGAAAGACCTAAATGTTAACAAAAAAGAATGAGTTTTTTGTTATGTAAACGATCATACCTAGGGCTCGTTCGGGTCAGGATTCAGAACCAAAACCCCTAATCCGAATTCCAAACCAAAACATTTTGGGATGAGATTTTATATCTCGAAACCGAACCGAAACTATTCATTTCCCAAAATTCGGGATTCTCAAAAGTGTTTCGAGATTTTCAGGTCACTTCGGGATTGGGCCTGTATATCCGATATTGCTATGTTGCTGGAATTAGACAAGGAAAGCTCTACGGTGGTCTACTTCCTTCTACAAAATTTATGTTTCAAATCTTCCTCAAGTCGTTTGAATATTGGTGAGAATGCTCCTGCAATTAACATAGAACCATATCTTATACATTTTCCATTGCAAAACATTTGGAGAGAAGATACTTTGACAAAACTCATAGAACTATATCCTGCATGCAGGTCCTGCACTTACCCACCCTAATTCGAAACCCACAGTCCTCAAACCCTCACACATTCGACAAAATACTCAGAAATCAAGTTAATCAACATGAAATTTGACCCTAAACACTAAAGAACAGAACCCCAGTGAAAATCAGAAACCCTTACCTGGATTTTGGGACTCGATTGGTGTCGGATTCGAGTCTTCCTTCATGCTCTGCGTGAGTCGATGGAGGACGAGGAGCGACGTGGATTCGACGGAGGAGCGGAGCGGCGGGACTGTGAGTGAGACTACGAGAGTGTTTGAGTGTGAATGAGTGAGACTGAGAGAGACTGAGAGTGAGCTAGAGCGATTGAGAGAGAGTCTGAGAGACCTAACAAATGGCTTGACTCAATGGACGGTTGGATTAGATCTTAACAAATCCAGTGGTTCAAGTAATTTCAAATAAATAAAAAAATAATTAAATATATATAAAATATTCGGTTCGGTTCGGGATTACCGAATGCTTTCAAAGCTATGGCCAAATCCCAAACCGAAACTTTCGGGACAGGTTCGGTTTCGGGTACCGAATATTTCGGGAAATTCGGTTCGGGCATTTTTTGGTCAAATTTCAGGACAGTTCAGGATTTTCGGGAAAAAATTCCACCCCTAATCATACCAATATGCCCTGAATAAAGGTTTTTTTGGAAATGTAAAAGTATAAAAAGTTCGAAAAGAAATGAGAAGTCGGGATCGATCAATCCCAGCTTCAGTACAGGAAACCAAAACAGATTCGATCTGTAAACATTTTGGAGGAAGGATTGGATATAAAGAGATGCAAATACTGTTTACAATGAATAAAAATGAGTGCAAATATAATTGGTTCGCATATAATAAGCTAGTGAAAACAATGGAGGACATATTGGGATCTGATAATGACATGCTGAGAAAGTCAATAGCACTGATCAATACAAAATTTAAAACGTTGGTGGTTGACCCTGAAACACGAAGGACTAAATTTGGTTTTAAAGGTTGAAAAAAGTGATGCAGATATGCTGCATAAACCATAACGAAGCTACTTTTATGCTTATGTACTGTCTAGGATGACATTTATGGTATAGTTAAAGGTTCTTTACGTTTTAGTAGTAATTAAGTCTGGTGTCAACGCAGCCACTTGAGAAAAATTGGCATTTAATGTCTCCAAAGAAAGCCTTTCAACAAACTGCTTTAGACAAAGTTAAATAAAAAAAGAAAAAAAAAACTTAATGGGAATGAATGCAGATTGGGAGAAGATTTAACCGGTTACAGCATCTTAAAAGTAAGCTGATTGGTTGAATATAGATGGGGTGATTAAATCTATGCAATGTAAGATTAGAAACTGAGGATTGTGGGTTCGATAAAATTCTAATATAAATGGATGAAAAGCTAAAAAATAGGAAGAAGGCAGCCAATAACAAAACTAAGAGAATATGCATATTGCAAAATGGTTAATATTAAAAACTAAATGTTTCAATAGATTATACGAGAAAATATGCCCGCGCGTTGCTGCGGGACTTGAACGCACTCACCTTAACTGCATGAATAAGACACATTTAACCTGAATAAATTAAGACACATGCACCATGCACTCATCTTAGAGAGATAAACAAAGATACCAAAAACGGAGAGGCAATGTCACATTGTTTTGCATGATCTTTACACACACACGTACCCTAAAAGTAAGAGTGTAAAATCTACGCTAAAATAAACAACTAAGTATGAGCAGGACCTCGTAAAAAGTAGGTGATCATATGTGTTCTTCAACTGTCTGTCGAACCTGAAATCAACGAAAGTGATCCACCGTAAAAAACATGGTTAACCACCATGTATTGAAGCTATATATAATCATTGAAGAAAACCTTTTACATCCAGCACAAAGCAAACTATAATCGAAAATGCAGATAAATAAATAGAAAAAAAAAAAAAGGAAGGAGAAAAAAAATAGTCGAAATTTCTTTTATGTCCAGCAATGGAACCAATAGAGATTGTGTAGAAACAATGCAGTAAACCACCATGTATTGAAGCTATATATAATCATTGAAGAAAAACCTTTTACATCCAGCACAAAGCAAACTATAATCGAAAATGCAGAAAAAAAAAAAAAAAAAAGGAGGAAAAAAAAATAGTCGAAATTTCTTTTATGTCCAGCAATGGAACCAATAAAGATTGTGTAGAAACAATGCAGTAATCACCACCAGAGAATGGGGATAAACAGAATGGTAATACACACATACCTATCAAGATAGTAAAATGAAAACAACTAAACATTTAAATTCAAAGGTCCCTCGGAACATGCTAAAAGTAAAACTAAATTGCATAGCGATTGGCATCTAGATTTACCTTTAAAATGGCATGTGATATGTCATTAATAAAAGCCCTGAATTCTTGGTTCACTGCTAAATTGGTAGGAGCTTTTGCTTTATCCATCAGAACCTTAAAACAAAACCTGTAATAGTATGATAAGCGATGAAGATCTGGTAAGTTTATTAGACATTGTTTCAAATACAAATTGGGACTCGTGGGAAAAAAAAATAGAAACAATCAAATATCATATTATATTCCGACAATACTCTGAGATGGTATGAAGTCACCTCATCTAATTTTATGACAAATGGGTGAGACTCGTTAAAGAAACTCAATAATGGATAGAATGTTTAAATCTATCTGATGAAAGAAGTGATAACGTTGTGGTTATTTTATCAGGAGGCGTTAAAACCATGAATCAAGAGGATTATAGACCAGGGATTTCAAATATTTCAATTATAAGAAAACTTGTTTGCAATACTAAGAAAAAGCTTATTATTGTTGATAAAAAATGCACACGACACCAATGGATTATGCCATAAAAATAACACCATGAAAAATCCAGAGACCAAAATCTTGGGCGGCAGAATTTATCCACATCAAAGGACGCACAATCTTGGTTTAAAAAACCAATCAAATTTAAATTCTAACACCATACGATCAAATGTTAATCAAACACACAATCTCAGAAAGCCGAAACCATGTTAAGCAAACGAAACAGAAGGAAAAGAGTGAAGATGTAAGCATTGATAAGAATATGAAAAGTGGCAGCACTGATATCATGCACAGATAGGACAACGAAATATCGGAACCAGCAGCTACAAATAGAACCAAGAAGGAAAAGGATTGATAAAATAAATAAATAAGAAATAGGACAGAGGCACAAACCAACGACATGAGCTCAGTTTTTTCACCATGAATTTTGCATGGCCTAAAATCAAGAAAATGACGTGTTTACCAGGATTTTGAAGTGGACGCCCGCAGTCCGAATGACAGCGATCATCCCTCTTTTGATCGTCTAGAACCGACGCAGGACACTCATACGAAATCCAAAAAGGCAGCATTATCTGGAAAGAACATGCGAAGCCGTCAACAACAACAAAGTAAATATATAGTTCCATAG